AAATAAATAAATAAATAAATTAAAAAGTGTTAACAAATACCATTAAATTATAAAAATAAAATAAATTTTAATAATATTATTAAAATTGACAAGGTCAATAAATAATAAAATACAATAAGAAGAGAGAGTCTGAGAAATAAAGATATAGGAGTGAGGGAGAAGGAGAGGGGGAGTGAAAGAGATAGGGAGAAAGGGAGAAAGAGAGAGGGAGAGAGGGGGAGTGAGAGTGAGAGTGAGAGAGAGGGAAAAAGAGAAATAGAAGGGGGGAGAGAGAGAGAGAGCGAGAGAGCTAGAGGGAGGGAGAAAGGGAGAATGAAAGTGAGAGTGAGAGAAAGAGAGAGATAGAGAGAGGGAGAAAGAAAAATAGAAGTAGAAGGAGAGAGAGAGATTTTATGTTATAAAAAAGAATATTATAATCTTTATATACATTAAATTTTTTTCCTAAATTAAAAAGGTTAGATTTTCACTTCCCTCATAAAAATATTTTTATAAAAAAATGGAATAAAAATAATTCTCATAAAATCACATTCCTTGGAACTTTTTTTTTAAAATAATAAATAATTATCAAATATAGAAAATCAAAATAGATACATTAAAATTTAAAAAAAAATATAAAAACATTTGGCATATTCAATTCTTTCATAATCTTATAAAAACATACTCTAAATTATATTATTTGACCATTTTCATTTCTTTCTATTTACCGGGTCTTCAAACATGGGCAGTACTAATATTATAACTGCGTTGCTATTTTGTCAATTATTTACTACTTCCATTTGATCAAATCTTTTGTGATATAATTTACCCTACATTTTGCTGCAATTTTTATCTATGTAAAAGACACTTTGCTGCAGTATCCAAATGTTAATTACGTATCTAACACCAACACTTTCTAGATACAAATATTTATGACCCAAATAGCCACTCTTCAATCGGTAAAACGTACGGTTGAAGTAATAATATTAAAGTTTAATATGTTTTTATTTTTTAAAATTTAAGATAAATTTATTTTTATTTCTCAAATTTAAAATTATTTTTTTAGTCTTTGTAATTTTCAAAACTTTTGTTTTAATCCTTCATATCACTAATAACATATTTAAAAGTGACAAATTGAGACATTTATGCACTATAATCTAGGTTTAATAATGTGATATTTTTTACTAACAAAAACATTAATAGATGGATTTTATGTTACAATATTTGATAGATTCCCTAATAAAAATTTGAGTATCAGAATTAAAATAAGATCTTTGAAAATTACAAGGACTGAAAAAATGAAAAGATCAATTTTAAATTTGAGGGACTAAAAACAAATTTATCTTAAATTTGAGAGACTGAAAACGTGTTTAAACCTAACCTTAATGTTAATATATATTTAAAGATCAATGACGATAAATAATTACATTTAGAAATTGTGTACCTTGTAGGTTTGGGATCAATTAGTTGTCATATGAGTGCCAAGGTGCATAACACAAGCAATGCCTTACATAACTTCTTAAAGCTTCTTCACTTATCACTCGAAGCTTGCGGTGTTGTGTGCCCCCCTCGAGGGCTTGAATGTTGAGAACCATATGTTGAGACCCCATATGCTGAGACAACATATGTTGAGGCTCAACATACTGTGATCACATACCAAGATCTCATGATATGGCCTATCGATATTTAGGCGACCAGACTCTATTAATACCGAAAACCTTGTTAGTATGGTTTATCGTATTCGAGTGTCAATCATTTATACTCAGTATGCCTGGACCTAA